CTGGGAATGGGGTGGGATGATCCCTGACCACCCAGATATGGGGTCTGAGGGCTGGGAAGGGGGTGGGTGATCCCTGACCACCCAGATATGGGGTCTGGGGGCTGGCAATGGGGTGAGGAGATCCCAAACCACCCAGATATGGGGTCTGGGGGCTGGAAATAGGGTGAGGAGATCCGTGACCCACAAGCCCACCACTCCTTATGGAATCCTAGAACCTGGGAGGTCCCACACCCCCAGTTCCCCCCCCCAGACCACCCCTCACCCCCCTGCCCACCCCACACAACCCCTTACCCTTGCCATCTTCTCCTCTCCTCGCAGCAGCACGACCTCGTAGCCGTCGCCTTGCAGCATGACGTAGGCAAAGGATGCAGCCGGTCCCGCGCCATCTTGTCCTCCCACCGTGACGTTAAGGAAAGTCTTCCGGGCCCCACAAGTGCTCACAAGAGTTTGGGAGCAGGGACCCCCCAAGCTGTACCCCCTCCCATCAAAAGCTCGGTACCTCCACTGCCTCAGGACGTGGCAGACGAGAGGGGGGTGGTGTGTGGGGACGCATCGGGGTGAGTCCCCCTCTGTCAGCTTGCAGGTTTCGCCCTTTGGGCAATGGATGTCGTTGCAGGACAACTTGTGGGGCTCACATTTGGGTTGGTTGTCCACCATCCTACAAATTGCCCCCATTGGACACGGAAAGTCTTTGCAGGACATCTTGTAGGGCTCACATTTGGGTTGGTTGTCCACCATCCTACAAATTGCCCCCATTGGACACGGGAAATCTTTGCAGGACAACTTGTAGGGCTCACATTTGGGTTGGTTGTCCACCATCCTACAGATTGTCCCCATTGGACACGGGAAATCTTTGCAGGACAATGGGTTGGGAACGCATTGAGGCCCATCCTTGATTATTTGGCACATTGCTCCAACTGGACACGGGAAATCTTTGCAGGACGTCTTGTAGGGCTCACATTTGGGTTGGTTGTCCACCATCCTACAAATTGCCCCCATTGGACACGGGAAATCTTTGCAGGACAACTTGTAGGGCTCACATTTGGGTTGGTTGTCCACCATCCTACAAATTGTCCCCATTGGACACGGGAAATCTTTGCAGGACATCTGGTAGGGCTCACATTTGGGTTGGTTGTCCACCATCCTACAAATTGTCCCCATTGGACACGGAAAATCTTTGCAGGACAACGGGTTGAGCTCGCATTTGGGTTGGTTGTCCACCATCCTACAAATTGCCCCCATTGGACACGGAAAGTCTTTGCAGGACATCTTGTAGGGCTCACATTTGGGTTGGTTGTCCACCATCCTACAAATTGCCCCCATTGGACA